GAATCACCTGGGAATCTTTTTTAAATCCTGATTTCTGGGCCTCATCCTCCGGAAATTCTGTTTCTTTGTTATGGGGTGGGGCCACAACATTAGTAACAAAGAAACAGAATTTCCGGAGGATGAGGCCCAGAAATCAGGATTTTAAAAAGATTCCCAGGTGATTCTAATGTGCAGCCAAGGTTGAGAACCACTGGTCTAGAGGCATTTGTATGAAAGATTTCAAGGAATTGTCTCATTGAAAAAGTTTATTACAACAACTCTAAGGATATAATTATTTGAGTTTTCTCTATCCACTTATCTAATATTCCTCCTCTGAGACATCCTTTGAAGAGAAAAAAAAAGTTATAACATATGGTATTATCTAAAACATGATGAAAAATGGAGATTTGGCTTACCTATGGTGTGTTTTGCCGAGGGAGTTGGTACACAGCTGAAGAAACATCGAGCCAAACATCAGTCAACATCATCCTAATTCACCACGGCACTGATTTCTGGGACAGCTGTCAACCACACTTCAACAAGGGATCCATTTGAAAGCAGCATAGATTTAGATTGTTTTCTTTGCTTATTTCCCGGTGTTGCACAGCTCAAAGCACCTTCACAATATATTTAAAGTTGGTTCTGAGTGCACAGATCCTTCAGCTAGCTGCAAAGCAACCGCTTAGTTTACGAGCTGTCACCCAGGTAACCATCCACTGTGCATTTAGCTTGGAGAATTGAAAGCAGGACAATCTCACCCAGGACGGAAAAGAAGTATTGCACACTCCCCAAAGTTTCTGTTTAAGTGCTTCAAAGAGTTGGATCCCTCTGCACTTCCATGATTGGCACCAACCTACAGAGATTTTTACCCAGGAAAGCCATTGTAATTGCTGTAACGTGCCAGAGGGGCTCCTTTCCAAATCTAAATCATAAAGCCTGAGAACCCAATAGATGACCCCCAAACTGATTGTATTCTTGGAGTCATGCTTGAGAAAGTACAGAGAATGGAAATTCTTACATTAGAACATAATTCTTGTCTACTCCTGTTATTTCAAAGAACAAGCTTCTGTAAATGGGCTGCATTTTTTGTGAGTCGTAATAGTGATAAACCCAGCTGTATATGCCTTTAAATTCTGTAAAAACATACTCAGGCGGAAGTATACTCAGGGCACTTTAAACATAAGGCCACCTGGCGTTTGTGTGTGGCTAACTTTTTTCCTGCCACTTACTGGAGGACGCTGGGGGTTCTCCTCTAAAGATACACTTAACGTTATAGATACTCAACTGAATAGAGTGCTAACATTTTATCATAACAACAGCTAATATTTACTTATTTATTTAATATATTTTTATTGATTTCAGAGAGGAAGGGAGAGAGAGCTAGAAACATCGATGATGAGAGAGAATCATCCACCGGCTGCCTCCCACACGTCCCCCACCAGGGATCGAGCCTGCAACCCAGGCACATGCCCCAACCAGGAATCAAACCACGACCTCCTGGTTCACAGTTCGACACCCAACCACCAAGCCACGCTGGCTGGCGACAGCTATTATTCATTAAATGCTTACAAGGTTAGTCCTTCACATGAATGATGTCATGTAACCCTCAAAACAACTCTATAGAGTAAACACTATAAGCACCGTCATTCCCACGTTACAGATGAGGACATTGAGGCTTAGACATTTTAAGCTAGTAATTGGTGGAGCTAAGGGATTGAACCTGAAGAGCCTGACCACAATGTTGAACTATTCGCTGCTTTTACTGTGCTAACACACGACGCACATACTTCTCTAGTGAGTGAAGACTTCAGGGTAAAAACCACTCAGAGATTGCTAGGTTTATGTAACTATCTCGTCACTCAATTCAGTGTGAAGCAGTCTGACATTAATCCAAGCACTGCCATTCTCTGTTTTACTTCCTGTACCCTACCTTGTTTCTCCTCCCAGCAGGAATAGTACTCTCTTAACATTTGTGCCAAGAGAAAGCTATACGTACTGTGGTTTCTGATGTTGAGGATCCCTTCAGGGTCACCCTTGGGTTCTGGCTGGCCTGCAATCCATTAATATTTCAATTGGTTTCCTAAAGGGTAATCCTCCTCTATCTCTCATTTTGAGAACTGATCATTCATTCAAATCATGTTTTTTTCAAGAAAACTCTGGTTTTCAGAAACCGTGGTGAGTCGAGCATGCAAAAACAAACAACATTAGGTGATAAGGCCACCATGGAGCTGTATAAAAGGCCCCAGGGAAGCATGGAAGAGGAGTGTCTAACTTTCTGGGTTGGAAGGAGTGGTGTATATTAGTTTTCTAAGGCTCCCATTACAAAATACCACAGACTGAGTGGCTTAAACCACAGACAAGAACTTATTTTGTCACAGTTCTGAGGCAGGAAGTCCAAGATAAAGTCCACATGTGGTATTTCCTGAGGCCTCTCTCCTGGGCTGGCAGACAGCTGTTTCTCACTGAGTCCTCCCATGGTCTCCTCTCTGTGTATTTGCAGACCCGGTGTCAATCCACATGTCCCAATCTCCTTTTCTAATAAGGATTCCAGTCATATTGGATTAGGGCCACTCTGAAGGCCCCGTTTTAACTTAATCTCCTCTTTAAAGGTGGTACCTCCCAATCAGTCACGGTCTGCGGGACTAGGGGTTAGGGCTTCCACATATGAATCTTGGAGGAACACAGTTCAGCCCATAACAGAAGGACATAGGAAGTCTTCAGAAAAGACAATTATCTGAGCTGAAACTTGAAGGACAAACAACCGGTAAACCACAGACAGAAGGACATTGCAGGAAGACTAAACAACAGCATCTCCAGAGAAAAGAGAAAAGCACAAAATATTGAAAACATTCAGGAAGACACATGATTAAATCTCTATTTTAGAAAGAACCTCCTGACAGCAGGATTGAAAATTAATTGAGATGGATCCAGAGACACAGAAGCATGGAACAGACTGTCGAATCTCAGAGGGCAAGAGGGAGTGGGTGAGTGGAGAGATTAACCAAAGAACTTGTATGCATATATGCATAATCCCTGGACACAGACAATAATGTGGTGAAGGCCTGAGGTGGGGGGTGGGTGCGGGCTAGAAGGAGTAATGGGGGAAGGAGGGGGACATTTGTAATACTTTCAACAATAAAGATTAAAAGATAAAAGAAAATTAATGGAACCCAGCCAGTGGCTCAGTTAATTGAGCATTGACCCAGGCACCAGGAGGTTGCTGGTTTGATTCCCAGTCAGGGCATGTGCCTGAGTTGCGGGCTCAAACTCCTCAATGTTTCTATCTTTCTCTCCCTCTCCCTTCCTCTCTCTGAAATTAATAAAAACATATTTTAAAAAAGAAAATTAATTGAAGAAGAGAGACAGACAGAAAAGGTAGAAGATTATTATAATGGGTCAGTAAAAAAATAGAGGTGACAACTTAAATCAATGACAGCAAAGATAAATGGAAAGAGTTGAGTCAAGATTTTAGGTTTTTCAGGAACATGGTAGGCCATGTTGTTTAGACTAATACCTTTACAGATAACAAATAAAAATGCTGGATAAAATATTTTAGGATTTTCTTAACAGTAAAGAAAAAATAACAAGATAATAAAAAGTACCAGGCCATACCCTGGCTGGTGTGCTCAGTAGTTAGAGCATCTTCCTGAGCATCTAGGGGATATGGGTTCAATTCCCAGTCAAGGGCACATACCTGGGTTGCAGGTTCAATCTCAGGGCCCCGTTGGGGTCCATGTGGGAGGCAACTGAGACACATTGATGTTTCTCTCTCTCTCTCTCCACTTCCCTCCCTCCCTTCCACTCTCTCTAAAAATCAATAGAAAAAACATCCTTGGTGAGGATTAACAACTACAACAAAATCAATGGTGAAAAAAATGTATATCCTTGGATGAGGATTAATAATAATAATAATAATAATTACCAGGCCAAAGTATAGGTGAAAACAAGAACCCATATTGTCTAAGAATGCCTGCTACCACCACTTGTTTTCAAATTGTGCTAGAGATTTTTGTAAGTACATTAAGGCTAAAGAAAAAGAAAAGAAGCAAAAAATAAAACACAGAAATTCAAAGATTGGTAAGGAAGAAACAAAATTGATATTATTTATGGTTAACACAAATGTGTATGTGAAAATGCAAAACAATTATAAGAATTAATAAAATAATTGCATAGAAAATCAAGATAAACAATATTTCTATATGCTGGCCAAGAAAAAGTTAGAAAATAAAATTTCTGACAAGGTACCATTTAAAATTTTATCAACAAATATAACATATCTAGGAATAAATCTAATGAAATATGTCCAAGACTTTTATGGAGAAAACTAAAATTTTTATTTACAGACTTACTAAAGATATGAATAGAAAGACATACCATGTTCATGGATTAGAAGTCTTAATATTGTAAAGATGTAAGTTCTTTTAAAGTGTCACAATCAAAATCATCGTTATTTTGGAGACAATAACAAGTTAACTTTTAAGTTTTTATAAAAATTTAAAGGTCCCAAAATAATGAAGATACTCTTAAAAATAAGGTGAGAAGATTTTACTGCCATAGTACTCCTTTGCTCACAAGAGATATATTTCAATATGCCCAAAGGGTGTCTGAAACTGTGGGAGTACTGAACCCTATATATGCTGTTTCTTCTTATACTGTACATACATACTTGTGATAAAATTTATTTATAAATTAGGCACAGTAAGAGATTGATAATACTAATAATATAATAAAAAATTATAAGATTATACTGTAATAGAAGTTATGTAAATGTGGTCTCTCTCTTTTCAGTAATTTTTATATTTTTCAGTTCAAACCTATTCCTGAATCTGTGTAATCATCCCTTACTTACAGTTAATGGTTTGGTGTCACTAGTGTCAGGGGTTCCTTTGCTGAAGTCTTTGTAAAGGCTCAATGCTTTCTGCTGCAACATGTTGCCATCAGTCAGAACACATTTTCTGTTCATATCTTTCACCCATAAGTATAATGCCTTTTCCATCACAGCTAAGCACTTACCACACACTGTAGTAGTAACTTTTTCAGTTGAGGTGTGAAAGCAAAACTAACATGAATTTCTTTTCCCTTCTTCACAATTTCATGGCTAAAAGGTTCATTCTTACCATAGATCTTAGCAACCTCAGCATACAACTTTTTCCCCATAAGTCAAGAACTTTTATCTTTTAACTTAAAGGAAACATTTCACGGCTTCTCTTTGACATACTCAAATTACCAGCATCACTACTTTTGTGCTGTGGTGACAGTATTAAGTAAAGTAAGGGTTACTTGAACACAAGCTCTGTGATACTGAGACAGTAGATCTGATAACCGAGCGGGTTAGTGACTAATGGGCAAGGAGAATATATATTTCATCTTACACACAACGATATGCATTTTAAAACTTATGAATCAATTATTTCTGGAATTTTCTATGTAATATTTTTCAAACTGCAGTTAGCTATAGTCAGAAACTATGGAAAGTGAAACTAAAGATAAGGGGGGACAACTGTATTAG